CTTAACCGCTGTGCGGAAGACCGGAAGGGTAGTAAGGGTGCGGATCTCCATGGGGAGATCGTTCCAGAGGGCCGGAGCAGCCACAGAGAGGCCCTCCCGCCAGGGGTCGCCAGCCGACATTGGCTGGAAGATGGAATTCGGAGGAGGCCTAATATGTGGGATCTAATAGGTCTTTGGGAGGTAAATACTACAAGTGAAAAGCCATCTGGTGAGTCTACTTTCATTCTTGAATAAATTAAAAATTATCTGTAAGCAGAAAAACCTTTTTAAAAATAGAAATAAATTGGTAGAAAGCTAAATAAAAATCTGGTTCAAGAATATTATAAATGAATTAGAGGTCCAGATACTTGGAACAATGAATTAGGACTTCTGCTATAAAAGTTTGGAAATAATTATAGAAATAAACATCATTTCATGGGAACCAATTTGTTTAGTCTATCCTAAGTGAAAAAGAAATTTGAGATTTATGGTTTAAGAAATTGAACATCAGAAAGGACGAAAGATTCCTTTAGGCAGAAAGGAAAAAGTCTGGCTCTTGTCTTTAGTCAGCAGCAGCGCTTGCAAAATTATTGAAAATGCTTTTACATTTGAAATTGTTCAGGAGGTTTTTGAGGAATTGAATAAAAAATAGCAGCTTCATTATAGGACTGCTTAAATGAATAGATTGTCCAAAAGATATTGAATAAGAAATTAATGATATAAAAGAAAATACATTAGAAGATAAAGAGATGAAACATTTTAACTGATGCAGAAACCTCAGAATGTAAATAATTTGGAGAAATATTGGAAAATAAAAAAGGACTATAAGACAGAGAAAACAACTGAAGTGGAAATACAACTGACAAGCCAAGAGATTGACTGGATAAGGATTTTTTATTGCAAAATTATTTTACAAAAGAAATTGGATAAAATGTTGAAAAAATATTTGAGAAGAGAAAATGAAAAATATCAACTCTTACAACAGCATTTGAATGAACTGATGATTATGATTGTTAGAAGCCAAAAAGTACAAAGTTGGTTCATTTGATCAATGTTAAAATAAGATACAGTTGTATAAATTTGGGGTCTCTTTTTTGCTGAGATAGGACTAATATGTTAATAAGTTATGGATTTTCAAAAGGATAACAAATGATATTTGCATTTAAGGTTATAGGGGGTGATGAAATTAAGTTTGTTTGTACTTATGATGAAGATTGGAAGCTACTTTTTAAAATGTTTCTTTTTTCCTTTTTTCTGTACACTGTTTATTCTCTTTTCTTCTTTACTTTCCCCCATTTCTGAATTTAGTTTTATTTTCTTTTATCATTCTTATTAAGTGAGTACTACCTTGGGTATAAAATATTGTCTAGTGGACTTTTGGCCAGTCACCCTCTCTCAGTCCAAAGTCCAACATCTCACAGAGACATTATTATGTTGTGGGGAAAATTGGTGGAGAAAGGAGCATTGCTAGGTTAAGTTGTATATGTAAATAAGGCAGAAAAAAATAGCAATAGCACTTTGACTTATATACCGCTTCACGGTGCTTTACAGCCCTCTCTGAGTAGTTTACAGAGTCAGCCTATTGCCCCCAACAATCTGGGTCCTTATTTTACCAACCTTGGAAGGATGGAAGCTGAGTCAACCTTGAGCCAGTGAGAATCGAACTGTCAAACTGCTGGCAGTCGGCAGTCAGCAGAATTAACCTGCAGTACTACATTCTAACCACTGTGCCACCAAGAAGCCCCTATATTTAAAACGTTTTCAATTTTTTTAAAGAAAAAGAATACTTAGACATATTGTTTCAATAGTGTACATTCCTGGATTAAAAACAGCTTAGATATAAGTCTAAGTTCCACTTATTACACATGACATTCCGGTTATTTGATCCCATCTCCCTGACTACATTTTACCTCTTGCACTTTCAATTTCTCAGGGATTCCTTTCATCCATTCCCGCAGCTCAGCTAGTTCCTCAATGCTGTTTGGTTTTTCATAAATTTTTCGGCTGATGGCCTTGAAAGCATCACAGATCTGCAAAATGATATAATAACTCTGTCAGTGCTAAGTCCGAAACAAAGAGTTCATTCAAGTGCATCAAAAAGGCGAGGTCAGGTGTATGAAATTGAGACTACACTTTATATAGACCACCCGCTCCTGCCCAGACCACTAATCTCTTTTCAAGCCTTTTCTATGTCTCCAAGACAACATTCAGTTAACGTCATTATGCTCTGTTTTTCCTCCCCATTGTCCTCTCCACAAGCGATAAGCAATGACATGGGCTGTAAACAGATGATGTCTGATTATGTCATGTGTCTTCATTGAGATATTGTAAAGAAAGTCAAAGGAAATGCAAGATTGAATCATTCTTCACAATTTCTGATAATAATACCGGGTTTCACATGTCAATAAGCCATCTCTGGTAAAATAATTGTATATTTCCAGAAGTAATTATAAAATTATTTGGTTATTCCTCTAGATGCAGTGTACCAACTATAAAACTCACATCTTCTACTTGACGATGTAAATTCTTGGCCAATATGTCCAGCATTGAAGTAGCCAAAGCTTTGCATTTCTTGGATAGGCTCTGCCTTACACCTTCAACGCTGAGATGAAAAGGGCCAATGACCATGACGCTTGGCAAACTATTATCCAACAACTCTTTTTCTGCCAAATGCTTGTTTACTATTTCTCTCACTTCTGGAGCAGAAGGACAATTGACCTCATAGTCTCTAGAAATAAGCAGAAATACATTTTCAACAAACAAACAAACCAACCAAATAATACAGCTATGGTAGGAATGCTGCTTCACAAAATTTTTCAATATTTACATTTGTACATAATAATTTTCTCCAACCTGGTTAACAACTCCTAAAATCCCCATCAGAATAGAAGGAAACAATCCATATTAAGGAACATAAGTTCTCCTTTGAAAACTACAGCATGTCAGGAAAGTAGTCAGAGAGTAATCAAACTCCCCAGAAAACCTGATTCTGGATGTCCCCAGAGTCTTCTGCCATCAAATATCAACAGCACACAAAAAACAGCAAACAGGATTAAAACTCAACCATTTTGTCCTCCCTTACTGGAAGGAAAGGCTGATTGCTGTATTTGCTCTCTGAATGACAGCAGAAATGCAATGTTTTCTTGCTTCTTTGCTAAAAGGAAGGAAGGAAAACCTCATTACTTTTCTTTTCCTCTCAGGAGAAAGGGAGAAAATCAGCCCATTTCTAAGAAAAATAGAGTGTGTGTATATATGTGAATGTAAGAATGTAAAGCATATATGGGGGAGGTGGAGTGACTAAAGAGAATCATGCAAGAAAAAGAATCACTTTCACTTTAAACAACTGCTGAATGTACAGTCCCCAGAGGATTCCTTCAGGACCTGATGTGTCCCACAGGACCAAAGTCTCCACTCCTACCTTAGGAACCAGATAGTCATGTACACTTTGTCCAGTATGTATCAACATTAATTTAATACAATGGTTTTAATCTGATCAAACAGAATCATATTTAACTCTGTAGTAAATATATGGAATAAATTATATTTTTCAGTTCCTAATAAACTGGAAAGGCTGCACCTTCAGTTCTAGGCCTTTTTTAACCTTACTGTTAAAAGTAGGGTTCTACACTGATAATGATTTAGGTCTACATAGTCCTTTTCATGATGTCAATTTTAACTTTTGAAGCATATCCAATATAGCTTAGCTCTTGTGTATTTGCAGGATTGTCTCCTTCTATTGAAGGAGGTTGGAGGCATGCATTCTCATTATGGATTCTCATATTGTGAAATATCCCCCCCCCTCACCCCCGAATTGGTGGGGAAAATGCTTGCTTGCATTTTACAAAGCAGTGAAAGCCATCCTGGTCAAATGGACTTTTGATGTGGAGAGAACCCCCTGGGCTGCATCTATAATTTTTATGTTATGTAAAGATATTTTATATTCTCTGTTATGTAGATCTCCCTGCATCGTTGTAATAAAAATGGCAGAATACAAATATTGTTATTTAAAAATAAATAAACAATAAATAAGCAAGCAAGCAAGCAAGCAAGCTGAAGTTCCAGATACCCAGAAGCAAATTTAAACATGAGGAGATTCAATCTGTTTATATAAAATGGCAATACATGCAGAGCTAATCTGTAGTTCCACTTAGCAAGTGGTGATCAACTGGAAAGTAATGATTAAGAAAATAATTTTCAAAATTCAACTTTCTACACAGTAGGATATAGTTATCTTGCAAAAACGGTTATCTAAGACATAAAAGGAACAAAATAAATCAAATAGTAAGTGTTTGAAGCAGAAAGCTGAAAAAAAGATAATGAGAAGCAACATGCGCTTTGCAAACAGTGTTTTAAAGCTCAATTCCTTGATGATGATGATGATGATGATGATGATGATGATGATGATGATGATGATGATGATAGTAAGCATTTATAAAAAATGGACACAGGAATGAATGGTAAGAAGAGAAATCATATAGAAATATTAGATTTTTAGCTGAAGGAAAGAAAAAGTAAGAAAATTAAATTTTATATAGGAGGATACAAAGATGAATATATCATTATAAGATTTTAATTAATGGGCTTAAAACAATTTTTATGTAGCACGATAATTCATTTTGGCTAATATACCAGGAGAAAAATCCTTTTCTTCAACATTTTGGCTTATATATATAAGCTAACCATAAAAAATTCAAAGGTGTTAAGGGTTTTACAGATAATTTTTAGAAAATTAAAATTTTAAGTGAACATTGAAAAGGATAACATGTAAATGATATAAATAAATAAAAAAAATGCTTAACGTGTACTGGTCTCTCAAAAATAGTCTTTCCTTCATTACATTTATATTTCCTCTAGGAGTCAAGGCTGCCTACACCATTTATTCAAGAGTAGCAATTGTGCCTTCTTATTCAGTATGTATTTATGATCACAAATAATTTTTGAATGGGAAGAAACCTTAAAATATTTACTGTTTTAGGAAAGGTAAAAATAAATTGAAAAATGTGACTCACACCCCTCATCTGCATTTTTTAAAAAATCAATCAGTAACCATTCTGATGCTAAAGAAAATATAATCAACTTGATATAGTTCCTGATATCAAAAGCAAAATCTATATTCCTTTCAGTCAACTGCACAGTATTCATGAAGCAGAGGTTTCCTAACCCACTCCTCTCAGTGCCAAACACCTGCTCCTGAGAATTGGGAGGACCTGTGGGAATGATGGAGAATATGGTGGGGAGCTGCAGATGGACAGGAAATGGATGAAAAAGTAATTGGAGCAAGAACTTAGGATCCAAGCCAATATGTTTTAGAAAACTACTTGCGGGTTTGGGGGGGGGGGGTGTTGCCCTTTAATTCTACAGAAAGTAAAGTCAAAGTGCTTGTGTATCAATCTACCCTTTCAGTTTTTAGTTCCTGCTCTTGCATGTGAATGCCGCTTACTTTAAGAGGCTGTGGATATCGCGATTATTCAGTTCTAAGTACTTTTCATAATTCTTGGCATAAGCTTGAAGGGGGATCAGTGCTTTGCGGATGCAAGTACAGATGGTATTCCGCAATTCTATCACAGCTGGCTCTTTCAGACCCACAGACTCTAACAATGGTGTGCCACAGATGAACATGTTTTCAAGCACATACTGAAAAAGAGATAAAAGAAGAGTCATTTAGCATAAACAGGATTATAGTCTGCTTCTATTGTTTCTAAAAAGGTGGTTGAACAAAATTAAAAGCCACCCATAACCATGCACCATAACAAGATTCCTCTTATATTTTTGACTTCATTATCTTATAGAAACTATTCTTTTTCCTCATAACCACCATAATAAAGGTTATCATACATAAGTACCAGAACTGGTCTATTATAAACAATTCAAAGATCTAACTTTAATGTATGGAGCTCGGTTTGAATTCCTAGTCATGCTAAATGTGATTTGCACCAAACGTTGCCTTAATTCTGTTGTAGCTTATCTCTACAAGCTGTTCACAGTAGCAGGCTTCATACCCCAGCTTTGGGGAGATTAAATATTTTGGCTAACCTATCCTTTTAGCATGGCTTGCTGGCATTCAGTGAAAAACAATGAAAGTATTCTTTTCTTCTTAATAAAGAAGATAGAAATTCTTGATGGTAAAAAGATTTCCTACCCTAGCCAAATCAGCAGAAGTATTGCAAGAATTGAATAAAAAAAAACCTTTCAACTTACTCTAAAAGTAACTTTAATAACGATTTGTGCTGAGATTTGAATTTTGAAATAAAAATCCTTTTTTTTAATCTGCAGCACATCACTTTATAAAGAAGCATCAAGATAAATACATATAATGAAACATCTCAGATATTCCCTTTACTTTGGTGTCAGCATTAATAGCTCCAGGATTTAAAATTACAGCATTATTGCCAACACTTTCTCATTTAAATCTGACATGTTTTCCTCAATCGGAAAAGTGTTAGTGGAGTCCTCCTCTGGCAATATGTCAGTGCTAAAAAGTGTTAGCTAAATCCTTCTACAAAATCCTCCCTTATCTTCTGCCCTTTAAAATTTTAGAGTTTTTATATCTCTGGTTAGGGTGGCTGTATGAAACTTGCAACACAAATTGAACTGACATTTCTCAACTCCTCTCCCCGACTCCCACCCCCCAAAATATCAGGATGTAATATCAAAATCAAAATTCTTTCCCTAAACCTCAATACATATTAACTAAAGAACCGCACAAGCTTCTGAGTTGAAAAAGAGACTAATCCATGACTTGGCTGTTGCTTTCAATTATTACAATTATAACAAATTACAGTATTGTTTCTGAAAAACAGATTATTAGCCTGAAAATCTCCAGCATTATATCCTTAAATATTTGGAGTATCTGTTTACAAAACTGTGATAACTTCATAAAACTGGCATGTGGCCATTACAAAACAAAAGGCAAAATATTTTTCCGGATTGAAAAATATTTAGAATCTATAAAGACTCAATCTGGATCACCGGGACCAGAGGTTTAATCTTCCGAGCTTTTGGACTTATGTTGGAACCCATCCTCAGGGAACTTCTCTTTAGCAGAGTGTGTCATGAGAAATTCCTTGAGGATGGTCTCTAGCACAAATTTGAAAGATCAGAACACTAAACCTCTGGTCCCAGTGATTGACCCAGATTGAATCCTCCAACATTATTCTGGGACATGTAAATTTGCCTCTATAAGGGCTATTCTGTAACTCCTTAGTATAAACAATGAAGCCTGCAATGGTATAACTATACATATTTTATAAGCTGAGACATATAACAGGGCGAGGAGACATTTCAGATTCTTGAAAGAAACTCACTTTCTCCAGTTGTGGTATGCTATGTGTAGCCAAGATCCCTTTATTAAAAAGAGAAACAACAGATGTCTCAAAATTCTCCAAAGGTGTGCTAAAATGGACACCATTACTGTCTAAAGCCAAATCAATTATAAACAGGGGATTTTTTCGTGGCCTGCAAGAGGGAAAATATAGAAATTTCACATTGTGTTATGGATAAACAGGTTCAAGCATTAACTCATCTCTTTGCTAATTAAAATCCACTGAGCTGAAAACATATTACAGTTCTATTTGTTTGTATTCCATAGAACTAGGAGCCCATACATATCCTACATTTCTACCAGAAGGCATTTTCACACAATGTTTAATGGAGCTAATATTATCACTGTAGCAAAATAGATGGTTTCACAGGAGTATTATTACATTGGTTGACATCTGTTCTATGATACTGTATTCTAAAATTGATAAAATATTCTGGCTGAGTATTATTTTTATTCAATTTGTCAGTTTATTAAAATGTAATATTAATGAATATCATAAGGAATTTATCTATAATATATATTAGCATGCAATTAAAAACAATGTAACCACTGGGTACAACTGGAGTAACATTTATGTAAATTAGGTACAGGTGGCACTCGATATCTTGTTTATTATGCAGTTTTGTGTAACCAGAGTTAGTCAATACAAATCTGATCTTGTTATCCATGGTAAGAATTGTGCATATCTCTAATTTTGAGCAGATGGATTTGAGCTAGACCCAGTTTGGTCTAGTGGTAAATGTAAAGGCACTGGACCAGAAAGAGGAGACCATGAGATAAAGTCCCAATCTTGGTCATGAAACCCAGTTGGATGATCTTGGGCCAGTAACAATCAGCCCAATTCATCTCATCTCATAGGTTTGTTGTTGTGAACAAAATAGGAGGAGGAAGTTGTATGGAGTATGTTCTTCACCTTAAATTGAACCCTTTTGGTTATTTTTCTAAGGATTTCAGAACCTATTTTCCTAAGCTCCATAAACTCAAGGTGTTCTCAAATTAATTTATATTACGAAATGTATTCCTGTTCAAATCTCTCAAAAATATTTTTATGGTTAAAATTCTGGTTTAGAAAATATTTATGAGGTTTTATGATTGCAAGAATATCTTTACAGAAAATACAATTACCAATTAATAAGGAAAGATTTTGTTTACTAAAAGTAGAGTTATATCATCAATATAACTTATTTGTCAAGTATGTACTGTAAATACTGGAAGCTAACTGTTAGTATTATTTTTCCAATTTGGGCAACTTTGGAATACATATATATATTCCTTTGGTTGTTTTTCATTTTTGGATATTTTTATTTTATAGACATTTGTTATCAATATATTTGATATGCAGATGTTAAGAAAAGAGTGGAATAAAGAAGTAGGAGCTCCTATATTGACTAGAAAAATGGAGAGTGTCTGAATTTCTATGGCAAGCATGTCAATGGAATTCAATAATGACTTATACACAAAAAATATTTAGAATCTATTGGATTCCACTACATTTGTATAGAAAAGGAGTGGCAAAAGTAGCATTTTGCACAAGATGTAATTAGGATAATACTTCTTTAAAATGCATGTTTTACAGCACCCTATACTTAACTACATTTTGGAAGAAAGTAGAGGACTATACGAATGTGACAATGTAACAAAAGCTAAACTTTTCAGAGGATAAAATTCTCTTGAATTGCCTACCTACTACATGGTATTTGACATTATAAATGGATTCTCCATGGCCTTACTAGAGCTAAAAAACTGTAATACAGCACTGGAAAGATAAATGTATGGCCCTGTTTACTCAATGATTTGAAGATCTGACGTACACTTGTCATTTATGAAAGGATTACCTACAGATGTAGACTTTGCCTTGGTAAGTATAATGAAACATTGGACTCATCTATACAAAAACAGTGGCTTATAAACCAGTGTGTTTTACACACCCACACATTCAAAAACCTGTTTGGTGCAAATAGGAGAAGATAGAATCTAGTCCCACTTGAGACACAAAACCAGCTGGATGTTCTTGGGGCTAGTCACTTCCTCTAAGCTCTAGGAAAGAGGCAATGGCAAACCACTTCTGAAAAACCTTGCCATGAAAACTGCAGAGACTTGTATGGTCTCTGTGAATCAGACATGTGTGTATGCACATAAACACAGACATACACACAAACAAACACTCACACGTTTGCATTAGAGAATTATATACACAATTCTAACTGTTTACTGTTGTAATGATATAATACTTTATATTTTTGATTGCATTCTTTTCATTTATTTTTTTTATTTTTCTGCCATTATTTTAAAAGTAATAAAATAAATAAAAATCTAAAGTTTTGTTATTCATAACTGCAGACTACCATGGAACTCAGGCAGAAAATAAGGCCTATCTGCCCTTCACATTTACCAACATTTCCATTCTAGGCATCATTGCAGGAGCCATGGGAATGCAGGAGAAATGGTTGGATAAAGCAGTCTTAAATTCAAATTAAATTGAAATAAATTAAATTAAATTATTTGCCACCTTTCTTTTGTATCCTTACTTTAGGTTCTTATCATTTACTTTAGGTTCTTATCATTTATAGGGCTACCTGCAAGAAATACATAGTAGTTTCTTTGGGATGATTGAGAACCTGAAAACCTGTTGCCACTTTCCCCCTTGAAAGCTGCAGAGATTGAGAAGTTAGGTGAAGCAAAATGCTCCGTTGAGCTCAAAAAAGAAGAAAAAAAAAGAACAAGGTACTTTTGCAGCAATTTCAAGTATATCTTAGCTGAGCCAACAATAAGCTGGATCAGCAGTCAAACTGAGTTAATAATATGAGATAACAAAGACACACAACTGATACTGGGATGAAATAAATCCATATGGATATGTGAAATGCTTGGGTACAGCAGCATTACTTCATCAGGAACATTAGAAAAGACAAAATATGTTTAAAGGTTCAATTCATAAAAAAGGAAAGAAATTTCAAACAATATTGCTCAGTGTTCTTTTACTAATTGTCTTACTTGTAAGGGCTATTAAGAAGATCCTCTCCCCAGGTCATATTTTCAGGGCAATCCAGGACACTGTAGCAGGCATCCAGAAAGAGCTGTGTGAAGTTTACAAGTGAATCCTGGACCAGGTAACGTACAGAGTCTTGTAGCATAAACTTGATAAGCTCCATCAACTGATGAAGCTTGGACATCTTATATACTTCCCATTTTGTCTCATATAAGTTATACCAGCCTTTGCCTATGTCCCTCAGACTGCTTCTCACTGCTATCTTTAGAGTATTGATCCATGTATCCTTGAGGAACATTGAAATCTGCAGGAAGTCAAAACAAAAGAATAAAAGAATCTCCATCTTAGTTTCAAACTTCTTATTACACGTTAAATGGATACAGCAATAGATACTTGCTGACCAGTGGTGGGTTTCAAAACCCGTTCCAACCGGTACGGTTGGAACGGGGCCGGCGGCATCCTCATGGACGCATGCAGCACATACTTCTTAGCGCCTCCGCAACGCTCCAGCTGCTCCGCGGAGTGTCGTGCAGGTGCTGTACGTGCCATGCACCTGTGCGGAAGTGCAGAAGCCTTTAAATATGGGTAAGGAGGTCGGGTGGGTGGATGGGGCCTCCGGAGCACCATACCAGAACAGTATCTGGTGCTCCAGGCTGGCTCCAGTATGCACGTACCGGGGTGTACCTCCTGCAACCCACCACTGTTGCTGATTCTAAAGAAAGGCAGCAGTGGGGAGTAGGTGGTTAGTCCTTCTCTTCTCTGGCTTTGAGTTTGCATTAATACACACCTCTATTGCTATCCCTTTTGGGGAAGAGAGGAGTGGCTGAAGTTTGCAGTGGAAAAGAATAGAGGGATATCTGTTAGATTCTCTCCCCACCTCCATCCTCCATTTTAAATCATCCCCTGAGACTGCTTTGTTTGGGAAAAAAAGGCATTATAGGCTTATTACATGTTTTATGGTCCACAGAATACTATTCTGTAAACAGGAAGAATTTTATTGTACTTTAATAACATTCTTCTAATAGCAGCAACAGTTCCCAAAGCAATCTACACCAAAACAAATCTTTCCCCATAGAATGTTATACTGAAATAATCTATTTTTTAAGAAGAGTGCAGCATTTACTCTCAAGGACAGCAGAAACAAGCAAACATATCTTGTTGTCCTAAGATATAACACAGAAGCTTTTCTTTCTAATATTCAACTATTTCCTTTGAAAAGCTCGTAAACAGATGACATATTTTATGGGAACTTGCCTATCCCCCCCCCCCACACACACATAAAGCAGCTTTAATGTTATTTCCTCTAAATATTTAATCTGCATATTTCCTACTGTTTTTTTTTTAAGTGGGTGCTTCTCACACTTCTGGGCTACTTTTCATTTTGAGGTAGATTATAGATAAAATAAAGTTGAGGAAGTTCTTCTATGTAAACAGTTCATAAAAAGTAGAGAACATGCATGCATAGCTTTTCATTCTTGAACCATGTTATTGCAGTTTGCCGAATAAAACTGGGATCCAAGGTGAGAGTCGAGGTGGCGCAGTGGGTAGAGTGCAGTACTGCAGGCCACTTCAGATGACTGCTATCTGCAGTTCAGCGGTTCAAATCTCACCGGCTCAGGGTTGACTCAGCCTTCCATCCTTCCGAGGTGGGTAAAATGAGGACCCAGATTGTGGGGGCGATATGCTGACTCTGTAAACCGCTTAGAGAGGGCTGAAAGCCCTATGAAGCGGTATATAAGTCTAACTGCTATTGCTATTGCTATCCAGGAATGAAAACAGTAAACAGTGTTTGGTAATCAGCAATACCTGTTTTTTATTCAAAGCTCTTCTGTTTTTTCCCACATCAAATTGTACTGTGTCCAATATATCTGTGGTTAAGCTATACATAATAATAATAATCATAGAACCATGAATTCTACTCTAAAATATATGCTCTCTGAACCATGTTATAGATTGAGTTGATTTTATTCAAATGGATAGGATGGTGCTTAGGTTAGCTATTTTCTCTCAATCTAAACTAAGCAGCAAACATTTCTTGGCTGCTGAGCATAGTTAGTCCTCAGTGGGCTGTTCTGGAAGCTGAATGCTTGCAAATCTTGGAGGACTCCCAAGCTTGCTGGTATAAGATTAGTATCATTATGGCCAACTTGGTGAACTATTTTTTCAATCAGTATACATGGTAATGTTGTTATCCTACCCCATGATCAAAGAAACGTGTGTGTGTGTGCATTTCTTCTGGTTTTTAATCATATAATAGCCTAAGTGAAAGAGGGAGTTCCATGTTCTGAAGAGCAGTAAGCACAAGTCTTATCTGGCCTAAAGTAATCTTCTACCACTGCATTACATGGGGTCCTTTCACCCAACACATAGTGGTTATAGTCCTTTACATTTGTGTATCTCATCCTTGCAAAGAATCTGCTGTAATATGTTACCTGGGAAAAGGTCTGGGTCTGAATCTGTTCAAATGTTTCAAGTCGTCCATACTTAGTCAGGGTGGAATGGAAAAGAGACATAGCAGAGGTTTTATTGCACTCATCTCGCACCTGGCACAAAGCCATGATAACTTCTGGCCGTGTCAAGACAGAGACAAAACTAAAAGTTTCTCTTTGCTCATTAAATGGATATTCTGGAACTTCAATGAGCCCTGGTAATAAAAAGAAAGATGTTATTGAAGTAATCAGTTTCACAAGTAAGCCTCTTAAATGCAGATAGATACTTACATATCTGCCCCTTTGTTCCCTTTTGAATAAACAATGTTATGCAAACCACCAAAAAAAGAGTAAAAAGAAGCAGGCAAGCAGACAAACAATAAAAATGCAATTTAAAAAAATTCTTGCTCTAGATAGATAGGCTCTATCTCTCCAAACCTTTCTATAGTTGTGAATCATCCTGGTTTCCATCTGGCCTGTATATTAGCTCAAATATTGCCTTTTGGTATTTAATCTACTGATGTTAAGGATCTCATCAACAACATGTAACCCAAGCTTTTTCCTGATCTCACACTTACATTCTTTTCAATTCCACTTTTTCGCATGAGGCTATTATTCTCACAGATATCTCGAAATACTCTTGGCAGTATTGTCACTTCAGTTTCAAATTATTTATTTCTAATTACATTCTTCTGAAGTATCCTTTAAGCTTTTTGTCCTCTTCCAAAATATTGGCTTTGATTTTCATTACATTTTGTCATTTTACTCTCCCCACTCCATATGTAAAGTAAATTTAGTTTATTTCTCTATTAACATATTGTACAATAGCTTCTCTTATCTTCATTTTTTGTAGCAATTTTTGTCTTACATGCATTTTTCTCATTTAGAGAGTCCTTTTCACATGAGCATTCTATCATTCATCCTTTTTCATTCTTGCCATTAGCCTAATTACACACACTGGCATTTTTAAACATAATTCTTTTTAGATACCATATCCTATTTTCCAATCTCCATTATAAATGCCATCATTAAGTCTTCTAATACTCTTTGTATAGGATTCATAATTTCTCTTCTTCAGTCATTCTATTTTCACTCTAATGTCTTTGACTTTTTTCATTTTGTTTCATGTTTATTTATCGTTAACTATCTTTAACAATTCTACTAGTCTTTCCATATGTTTATACAGTTATGCTTAAGTTTGTGAATCCGTTTGATTTTTCAATATTTCTGCATAATATGAACTAAAAGCACAATCTGATCTCCATGTAACTCCTAAAACTAGATAAAGAGACCCCAATTAAACAAATCAAACAAAAATATTATACCTGTCCATTTAAGGAAAATGATCCAAAGCTACATATTTGTGAGTGGCAAAAATATGTGAACAATTGTCAGCTCATTTGAAGGGAAATTTAGAATTAGGATTTCAGATGATGGATCAGGTGGAAGTGTGGAAGTCTGCCTTATTTAAAGAGTTCTGAGCATTCACTATCAAAACCTGGTCTTCACAGAACAGGTATATGGAATTGTGTCATGGCTTAAAGAAAGCAGATTTCTAAGGACCCACAAAAATAGTTGTTGATTTTTACCCGGCTGGAAAAGTTTACAAAACTGTCACACAGATCATATACAAATGGTGGTAATTCAACACCTGTCCTATTTTCCCTAAGAAAGTGTCAGTGTGTCTGTCTGTGAACTGATACTCAAGAGAAACTAGATCGTGCATCAAAACAATGATCCAAAACACATAGATTGCACAACTATGGAACGGTTAAAGTAGAAAAAATGTTTTCAAATAGTCAAATCAGAGTCCTGATTTTAATCCTATATAAATCTTATGGAAGGACCTAAAACAGGCAACTCATGGGAAGAAGCCCACCAGCATCCCTAAACTGAAGCTGTTCTGCGAGGAGAAATAGGCTAAAATTCTTCCAAGCTAATATGCAAGATTGATCAACAGTTATTTTAAACAGTTATTACTGCCCAAAGGGGTCATACCAGTTATTAAAAGTTAAAAAAAAATACTTTTGCCACACACGAGTGTTTAACTTTGGATCCTTTTCCTGAACAAATAAGTACTCATTACTTATTAAGTTTTGTATTTGGGTTCATAAATGTCCCAAAGGTGCTTTTCAAAAGGCAACTGGGCTTTCTTTATTTTTTCCTTTAAGAGTTTTGCTTCTTGAATGAGAACCAAAACATCATCAAGGAAAAAACATAAAAAGTCCAGTTGCCTTTTGAAAAGCAACTTTGGGACAATCGTGATCTAGATGACTGAGAATCTCCAAAGGCATTCATAAACTGTTAAGCATCATTGCATATACAAACCTATGTGTATACCACATGGAATACCATTGAACAGCTTCTTCCAAGCATGTGTTCATTAATAATAATTCTTAGGTCTCAAAAAATTCACCTTTCCTGGTGAATGGACCAGCATTTTGTTTATTCATTCACATTACAAACACAATAATTTTCCCTACTTCATATTTATTCAGATTTTGCATATTTTTCTTCAAATCTATACCTGGTTCTTTCATTGTTACTATTCACTGGAGAGTGAATAGTGACATGCAACATAGGCAAGCACAACAATAGAGATTGTATCAATTCTTATATTTTGACATACATTTTAGCCTATTTTCATAATGAAATCTGCATTTTTACTTCCCTGAATGTATTTATTGCTTTCACAGGATTAGACCAACTAACTAACCAACTTTCTTCCTCCTCTCTCCCTCTTTTTTTTCTTCTTTTCATGCTCCCTCCCCCACAGTATTCTTTTAACATTCCAAGTTTCAATTTACCACATTTCATATTCATCACCAAATGAGCCATAGATACTGATCTCTGCTGCCTATCATATATTTGATCACCTGAAATTTTCATACAATGCATTTTAATAACAAAAAAGAAAGAATAAATTTGATTACCAGCATTAATTATACTTGTGTACCCTCTCTTAATCAGGATAGCTCCAGTCTGTTTTGATACATTTTAGTCAGAATACCAGGATTGCCAGGTATGCTCCCGCTAACCTGTACAAGTTAGGGTATCTGCCTATATTCCATCAGCCTGGAGACTTTGCCATACTTGGGATATGTGGACAAGACCATAATCCAAAATTGGATTTAGAGGGACCACCCACTGTTGTAAAGTGCCCCCTAATATAATCCAGAGATGCAGAAAAATCATAACCACTTCATTCACACATATTCCACTTTTGATTTTTGTTGTTATACTCAATATATTCACACATACATACTCAAACATATATACATGCATTTAGATATATTGCCTCCTTCCAAAATGGTACAATTGCAATCAGATATGCCTCAACGTTACCAACTTATTGCAATAGAGAATCTGTCTCTTCAATCAACTGCTATCATAGCTATTAAAATTTGTGTGACTAAAATAAACAGCTTTCACGGTCTATGAGAAACTTTTTAAAGTTATGTTGTTTGACAAATTGAGGTTCCCTATATCTTGCTACTTGTTCAGCAGAGGCCATGCTGCAATTTGTTTTCTACTTCCATACATTGGCTACTTCTTTAAAACAAGAATTCAAAAATTATCTCTTATGAAGTCTCCAGATGTAGTGAATGCAAAAATTGGCACTCAATACATGTTTGTATTATTCAGTAAAGAAATTAAAAAAACCCATCAGATTCATGAACAAATTAGAAGTATAAAAAATATCTTGCATATAATTGAGCTATACCTGCTCATTTTGAATGGAAACAAAGATGATTACACTTATTACACTTATTTATTATGATTATACTTTTTATTGACCAATAAAAATCCAATTATCCACTTCTCTAAAATTTCACCAAGCGTTGCCACAAGCTTTCACATCTAGGATTGTAGTCAAAAGACTAAGAAGTCTGAATTTTCAGAACATTGAACGTGTATTTAAATACTTTTTCACTGAACCAAGTAGCTGCTGTTGTAAGATATTCTAACAATTCCATGGTTATGTTAATTGTGAATAGTCAAAGTTGGTCTAAAACATTTGGAGTGCATCAGACAATCTAACCTGATCCATCATTTTAAGAGTATAATTCAACTCTTTAACTATTTGTTGGGAGAGATTAAAGATGTTTATATAAAATTGCATTGTAGATTACATTAAAAATAATAAATGGAGCTACGTACAGGTAGCTCTTGGCATATAGCATTCATTTAACCACAGTTCAAAGTTGTAACAGAATTGAAAAAAGTTACTTACTAGCAGTCCTCACTCTTACAATTGTTAGCAGCATCCCCATGGTCACATGATCAAACTTCAGGCACTTTGCAACTGGCATATATTTACAACTATTGCATAATTCCAGGATCATGTGATCACCATTTGTGATTTTTCATGCTGGCTTTCCACAAGCAAAATCAATGGGGAAACTGATTTTGCTTAATAACTACAGGTATTGAACAACTGCAGTAATTCGCTTTACAACCGTGGCAAAAAAGATTGTAATATCAGACATGGCTCATTTAACAACTACCTTGCTTAGCAAAGGAAATTCTGATCCCAATTGTGGTTGAAAGTCAAGAACCAACTCTATTGGCCATTGTTAATTTTGACAAATTAAGGATTTAGAAATTGCTATTTTAGTATTATTTTTTTAAAAAATGTTTTGACAAAATTTTCTTGTCAATAGTATTTCATAGATAGAAATCTGTGATTCTAAAGTCTCTTTTTATAGTATCTCCTATAATACATCAATTACAATCTGAAGTTAACCACAAAAGGTATCAATTTATAAGCATTTTTATAATCTCTCTTTTCTCTCTCTTTCTGTGTGCATGTTGTCATGCGTTACTTACCTTTCTCTGGTACCTTCTCTTCCTCTTTCTCAGGCAGAGTGATATAAGAAAATATCTGACGCTTCAAAGTGACAATTCTGTCAAAGCTAATCATGTTCATAGTACGCTCATAGTCTAGGGACACTTCCTTTTCCAGGAGGTGCAGCCGTCGTAAAATCCTTAAGCATAATTAAAAAACTAATTAACTGAATGAACAATGACCCCTCAAAATGATATGTCTGTGTCACTCATATACCTCTAGTCCCATATTCATTTGTCCTGTGCTCACTTATGCTTTGCTTCTTCATTAAAAGCATTTGTAGCACGTTAATGGAGTTTCATGAGGGGGAGAATGGAATGGCAAGCTTAATAGAAAATGGAGCATAGTTATATTACACTTAAGGCTGTATTAGACAAAAGAGGAAGAATTAGGAGCAATATTCTCCTAATTCTATACATTTCATAATATATTAAAATTATGAATTGATCACAAATGCTTACATGTTACTGAGACTGGAAAATTAAAAATTCAAGAAACCAACAAATCTAAAGCAAATGCCCTAAAATGAAAGGGAGACATAACAGGAGATACAAGAGCAGATAATCTAGCATTTAGCAAGATAAATGCTAGATGTACCAGTACTTATCGGGAATAACTCCTGATACTTATCAGAAATAAGTTTCTCCACCTAAAAATGACACTCATCTGGGCCTAATAAAATGGCTGAATGATAAGTCTTATAATGAACATGGAGATATAGACCCCGAGCAATGTCTCAATCTGTGCAACTACACGCCAGTGACAGCTGGGCCAGAATTGTTATAACTACACACAGAGCAAAGTTAATATAATATGCAAGAAGAAAGGCAAAAGAAAAATAATTCACAGTACTATAATTTAGAAAGGGATAATCCTACACTCAAATTCAAAACAAAATGTATGAGGGGAAGTGGGATGTTATTGGGATGGATACCTTCAAATATTTCTGTAAGCATTGCTTTGTATTATTTTCACTCTTATCTAAAATCAAATTTTTCCTAACAATGGATGATTCATAAATACTATTAGTCCTAGGTACTAATTAGATTATTCTTGCCATAATATAGTGAGATGGAATTGACGCATTATACAATGATTCATCTACCCTGTGCATCTTAAATTGTTCAAGTCATAGGATACATAGAATGCAAGTGTCAAGATCATTTTCACACTTAACCTCACTTCTTATTCATAGATCTCTATTACTTTTATTCAGTTACATAATACACTGATTAGACTCATTTGAGTATATAAGCATTTCCCAATAATGTATACTCATCAAATGTGCATTAGCATTTCCAAATTTGTGGTTGCTCATGAATCACAAAAAGAAATTATAACAAAAGAAAGAATCTATGAAAGTCAACTAAATTTCACCTTTTGCCCCCCATGTATTTTAACAATTTTTAATTGTAAAACTGCAAATTTGTACGTAAAAATGATTGGTAATACCATGCCATTCCATATTATAGTTGCATCTGTTCACTTTATTCAAATAATTTCTGCTCTTATTTATATTGACTCATTTTCTTTCTTCATTTTTGTTTGTCACATAAGGCTATATTTCTGGCATGTGCAGAAGGAGCAAAGAACAAAAAGGGAAATGAGAGGAAAAAAAACCACAGGTTTTACTTTTATCCTGCTGGCTGGACCTTCCTTGTCATTGACAAAAGTTAATAATCTGAAGAATGATAACAAATGTTGAAAAAGTATTATGAAACTTACTGGCTTCCTTTCTTTAGATGTGAAGTTTGCATTGCCATTTGTTTCATATTTTGCAAACTTTTCTCTTCAATGCTTTGCAATCCATCTACTGGCATACAGTCCACATAGAGATTATATAACAATAGTGCCTGTGTTTTCTTCCTCAAATTGTGGGCTGAGATCACACGCTGGGAAAAATTACGAGGATCCTCAGCAAGAAAAAGTAAACGGATCCGAGGCACCCAATACTGACAGGAGATCAGTGGGGGTCTCCCTAGGCAGAGATCAGAAAGCAAGACAACAGAAAACGTGAAAGCTTAAATATCCAAAAGTGCCTGTGCATAACCAGACTATTGTCCAGTAAATAGCCTTTTTGCTGGAAAAAAATGGATAAGAGAATCAAAATTGAGACTGAGAGGATTACTGAGGAAAAATGTCAACATATCTAATTAAGTGAGACAGCAGAGGCTCTCTGATCAGGTCTCCTACTGCTTTGTTTCTCTTCTTAGTTAAAGTAACAAGACCACACATTTTTAACCCTTTCCTCCTGTTCTACTTTCCTCATTTAAATTGTCCTCAGCAGTCTTATTTGCCCTAGGAATGAAAACCAGCAGGAGTCCAATAGTACCATACATAGAGGAACTAATGGCCTTCACAGAGGCAAACAGTGACATTTTTGTCTTTTCACTATATCCCCTGTATGTCTTCTTATTACACAAGCTACCAATGTATTTTATTCCTGTCTTTGAGATGGGGAAAAAGTATACGGATTGGAAAACTGTTATTCCCATTGCAGTCCTCTTCCTGCTCCTCTAAAATGAGGCCAGCAGGAGTTGCTGTAAGAAGCTGGGGCCCAGAGGTGCCTCGTTACAGTGGAACCGTATTGCCTTCCCACGTCACAGCCATCTCTGGCCATGAGCACTGTGATCCCAACCAGCTCCAGGACTACAATCACCATGTAGACCCTGTCCACCCTCTGCTTCCCTGCCCTTCCTTTCAGAAAGCAAGTTTAGCAGCAAATAGGAAAATAGTTCTGTCTCCAAAGCCTCCAGTGGCAGGGTTTAGATAGACAGGAACCTACCTCTCTAGCAAGCTGTCTTGAAGGACAGTAGGGGAGGTGGTTCTCTGGGACAAGGATGACAAAGAGACTGGGGGAGATGTTAGCTACAGCAAAATGCACTTAATGTTTGTGGGGAGAAAGTTGTATATACAGAGATAAATAAGGAATACAAAAAAAAGAAAGAAATTGACTGCCATGCAAGTTTCCATTGTGTCAGCTAATGTCAGTTGGGAAAGGGGACAATTTGGAGTGGCATAGCGTCCCCAAGTTTTTGCTCTATGCAACAGCACAGGATATATCTATAGGTGAGGGCTTCTTCTGTTTGTCAATCCCTAGTTTCCTGCCAGATCAAGCTTAATGACTGACTAGCACAGAAATGAAGGCTGTGTTGTGAGGACATGCCTAACAAATAATAAACAGTTTTTATTTGATTTATACCCTGCCTTTTATTTTTATTTTTATATATGTATTTATTATTTTTTATTTTTAAGCTCAAAGCAGCATGCATGATGTTCCTCCTCCTAATATCTCTACAACAATCACATTTGGTGGGCCAAGAATGTGATTGGCCCAAATTACTCAATGAGTTTCTATGGCTAAGGAAGGACTAGAACCTAGGTTCTCAGGCCAATATCTTAGCCACTATAGCACACTGGCTCATATCAGTACCAGGACAACAAGGACATGTGTATAAACTGTATGTCAGAGCACAAATTTGATTATATGTCTATGGAGATTCTCAGTCATCCAAGTCATGGTTATCCCAAAAATGGCTTTTCAAGAGGCAATTGGACTTTGTGTTTTTCCTTTGAAGACCTTTCACTTTTCATCCAAGATGCTTCTGGGCTGAAGAAGCTTCTTGGATGAGAAGCGAAACGACTTCAAAGAAAAAACACAAAGTCCAGTTGTCTCTTAAAAAATTACCTTTGGAAAATGTGATTATATACTTATTATCTCTTCCTCTGACTGTAGGTGATGTGGTCAGGGATTGATGACATTGTCATCTCTTACACCTCTTTCAAAGGTCTCTGCAATGGTTATAGAAAGCCAACTGATGACCAAATATGCAGGCAGTAGTATGCATAAGAGTGGAAGAAGAAAGCCATTTCAGGATGTTCAGCTGTTCCCTATAAAAGGGATCAGAAATTACACTACAACACAGGGCTTTTATGTATTAGATATAGCTAACAGGTACAGAAATTGTCCTTCCTTCCTGCATTCCAGTGATAACTAAATTGAAACCCACCTTCAGCTGTCATTCCTCCATTGATTATACGTTTCCCATTGAGGTCTCGAACAAGGTCCATTTTGTTTGTCTTATGTACCAAGTAGAGTTTTGACTCTTCATCATAATCCAAGACTCCAACATTTATCCACTTATAGATCAGTGTGTGGCTTTTTGGATCTCCTTAGGTATTAATGACAAACACAGTTTTACAATTTCACAATTGCCCTAATTAGAATAGTGGAATTACAAAAAGTACATTTCACACAGCTGCAATTATCACCCCTTCTGTTCTTGATCCCAGACTTTCTCAATACTTCAATAGATTTAGGAAGAGGTTGGCTTTGCACAAGACCCTGAATGTATGTTTTTTCCAGTGGGCATGTGGACTCGGCAGTTTAAAAGAACTGATACTTTAATGGTATGTGGGAAGCATTTTGGGAAACGGGGTAAAGAGATATAGCCAAGGGACCAGACAGATAAAAGGCAGCTGAACTGGCAGTAGAAATGTAGACAGGGAAGGGAGAGAGATATACTTTCAAATTTGCAAGATTCTGTTAATGTAGCATTAAAGTAGAATTAGTTTATCTGGTCCTCTTTCCTGTCTGATCAACCTTGTAAGGCTGACAAGTTCAGCGGCTATATTGTTTTAATCAATGGGCTGTGAATTTTATGTATTTTGTCATGGCATTTTATAAGCTTTTGTATTATTTTTTCCTGCTTCTAATTTAGTTCCCCCCCCCTTTTTGGTTGTTTATCATGGGTTGTTTTAATTGTTCATAAATTACTCAGTATGTGTGTATGTGTGTATATAAATAAACAGATATAGATATTTAGATAAAAGAACGTTTCTAAATGAAGAATTTTTCTTTCAAAATTGCTGAAGACCTGTTATGCTTTGTGAAAAAATAACTCACAAAAATCTTACGTTGTGCACTTAGGACAAAGACATAAAAATCAGAGACTACTTCTTAAATTATAACTTGCACAAAAGGTAATGGAGTACTAAGCTTCATAGGGAGGTACAACAAAACATGTGATGCATTGGCTTAGACCCACTGATATCCAAGCTCAAAATGTTGAGCATCACAGACTCAGTTTCCATGAAAATAAGCTGAAATCAGATATTTATGACAAGTTATATATTTTTAAAAAATTGTAAATATAGGATTTTTCTTGCCTCAGTCTATATATTCACTGAGAGGGCAATCTGATTTTTGGGGGTGGGGGTGGGGGGATGCTTTTATTTAAAGTACCATGAGCAATGAAAAATTCCCACTAGTGGAATTGTCTCTTTGAAGTGGATCAGTTACTTCCACCATGTTCTTTATTTTCCATTCAAAAAACCTACTTTTTCCACCCTTTTACTAATATTATAGGTAACAGCTTTAATTTATAATAGTTTGTATATTGCTCTGTGAAATTATTATTTTAATTTTTTATGCTAGTTCCAAGCTTTAGTTTATGAAGTTATATTTAATGTTCTTATACTATGTCTCACTACTTTGTTACTTAACTACTCTGGAAATATTAAAGCCATGGAATATAAATAGGTAAATAAATAGATTTATTTAAACAAAAACAAAAATATTTTGCTCCCAATTAATTTTCAAAATGTAAAACTTGGAGGGGATAATTTTGTATTTTAATCATTGTTATAACTCAAATCTATATCATCTGAACTTTACCATGTCCAAGTATGTCATCAGTAGGTAGGAGTGCTTTTCCTGGGATTGGTTTCCGATCTGAAGATTCAGGCTCTACCCCCAATGATAGCCACTCTTCTGGGGTCCGGCAATCATATTCTTCATCATCAAAAATCTAAATAAATAAGAAACTATATTCATGGAGAAAACCTATGTGGCTGCTAATAGTTGACACTGACTTGATGGCACATAATCATAATCCAGAAATTGTACATTAATATTTCACTCAAAAACAACCTGAGCTGTGTGAACTGTCCTTTTAACTCTGGAATGCAGTCACTATTCTGAGATGGCTTTTTATACATTACATTTTGTAGGACAGATTCCCAATCATCAAATTTTCCCCCCATGAAAGATATACACCTACTATTAAACACTGTGGTTATTTCCATTTCCATTCCGCACTCAAATCAAAGTCTTAATTTTTAAACAAATCTCTCCAATTCTCTCCAACATAGTGGACAGCAGCACTTCCAAATAATAATTGGGTATTTATAAATATAACAGAAAAGCTGATGGAAAATCATAAAGTAACAAACACTTTGACAAATATTTATTATAGGCTTGGGAACCTGCACAGTGAAACACAAATACCAATAATTCCCTCATCTTACCTGTAATGGTAGATAGATGGGGAAAAGGGGGTCTTTGTTTTGTTCAATTGTTGGTAAATTAGCAGGGTCTTGGTGTCTTGGCATCAGCTCATTAGAATTTATTCCTGCATTTTCTAAAAGTTTTGTGATATCTAAGCTGAGATATAATCGCCTTTTCCTAATTAAACAGCAAGAAGAAATGGTTTATATTTAAACAAGTCCTTTATTATCTAATGATATTGCTACTAAAGATGCAATCAACTTATATTTTGGATACTGCTAAAGTTTTTCTAACTGATTTTCTATCATGCCTACACTATTATCTTGAAGAATATCCCAAATTAATGTACATTCATCAGCAGATTATTGTTTCTTCAAAGAACCTTTCTATGTAAGAATATACAAAGAGCTATGCTAGATTAGATCACCTTGTCCAAATGCTTTTCTCAGTAGCCAGATAGAAACATAAGGAAAGCTCATAAATAAGACATGAAAGAAATATATTTTCATTGTGTTTCTGAAAGCAAGTTGCCTGAGACTGGGAAAAGTTCCAATAAAGGAACTAAAATATAGCTATTGTGATAAGTGGTCAATGACAGCCTTAATTCTCCATCACACTTTGGTGTCATGGGAAAGATAATACATTTGATAGTGATAACCCAATTTTATATACCTAAATCCATCCAATCCAATCCTACAATAACGGTGGGAAAACTTGATCCACCAGGTTTTCCCTATTTAGAATATACCCCCTATTGCTTTCTTGAAATCCTGTTTCTGTTAAAAAAATGAAGAGTGGGCAAAGGGAGGTTGAGCCTCAAGGTTTCTATAGTCTTGTAAGTTTAGTGAAAGCTGCTCCATTAGAGGCCAATGCCTTTTTGCTGATACTTATTTGTTTCCATGGTAATAAAAGGGGACTGTGACTTAAATATCCCATGTCTGCAATCTCTTTCCTGCTCTGCTGAACAGCAGCAAAGAAAGAGCCGATTTGACTGGCAAATCAACTACAGAGGTTGGCAAAGTGTAATGCTCTTTCTGCTTTGCCAGACTAGTCAATGTTCTGTATATGTGTGTGTGAGAGAGAGAGGTGTGGGTGAGAGAGGGAGAGAGAGGGAGAGATCCCATCCCTTCTTTGCTTTAGCTACACCCACCATTGCATCATTGATGTGCACTCCTTGGAGGGTTGATTACCAGATATTGTGGTTGCACAAATTGAAAAGGCTGACACTCTTTCCCTCAATGGTATATTTACTACTACCCATACTCATCCTCATCTTACCTGAAAACTTTCACTATAGCAATCTAGTACATAGGAGGCGAAACTAACAGCACAGAGAATCTTGTCAACCTCTTCAAGATCCACAGCTGAAACCTATCACATATAACCTCACTAAACAAGGCCTCCTCCTCTCAGTTGCACCCTCTTGACTGGCATTCAATTCTAAGCATGAATTATTTTATCCTCTACATGCTTTATACAGTCCCTTCAATTTCTCAACAGATGATTTTCCAGCTCCATTTTCCTTCGTGTGTGTGTGTGTGTGTGTGTGTGTGTGCGTGTGTTTGTGTGTGTGTGTGACAGAGAGATTCACTTTAAATAATTGAGCTAAGAAGTATGCACGTTTCACTGTTCTTAGCACCACAGAATATGCTTGAACATGAACTCTTATCCACGTTTGGTTGCATTCATTTAATGCTAGCATTGCTTTAAGTATCTCTTAAGCTGTTTCATCTCCTGGTGCTCCTCAGAAAACCAAGGAATTCCCTTGAAATTATTATCACTCAGGAGCAGTTATATCAACCTTTGCAAGCGACCCCTTATTTCAGAGATCAGCCAGGCACACAGCGAAATTGCCCACTAAGGCTTCAGGAAACTCTGCAAAAGCTCTTTGGTAATCTATAGGATCTATTAAGTGCCTGAGGCGAATACAATAGGCTTTCTTCCCCCCCAAGTTTGTAATAACAGTAATTGTATTTTATGATTGCTTTTATTGTATGCTGTCCAAAGTCATTGTAGAGCTGGGTGATCTTACACATTTCCAAAATAAATAAAGTAAAATAAACTCCAGAGGATGATTGACTGAACTCAGGATGAAAATACCTCTCAATTGCAATTTTTCGAGGGCATTGTCCTGGAAGCACTTCAAATGGAATTTGAACCTTGGGTTTATATGCTTGCAGTGGAAAATCTGACTCTTTGATAATTTGTGTAGTTGGTCCAATTTTCTGATTATCCAAGATAAGTCCAATATTTTCTGGTGTATCAAATGTTGAGACTGACAAAAAACAAAATTCAGAAAAAAAATCACAGATTAAATGTTTCTTGATTTAATTATGCACTCTTTTATGCTGAGGTGGTGAAAACCTATGAATAAAAATTGAGAAACTGCTTCATCCAGTATCAATATTACTTAAATTTTCTTTAGCTCATAAAAGTGAATGGGGTGCATAGGTGTAGGATGATGTAAGCAAAATTTCCAAGGTTCCCTGTATAACCTCAGTGGGCCAGTCATTCTCATCCTAATTTAGATCCTAACACTATTTTTGATCCTAAATTTGTTGTGATAATCTCCATAAAATGAGATGCCTGAGCAATCTGAAGGAAAAAATCCAATAGAATATAGAATAAGAATATAGAAAGAATATAGAAAGCAGCATTAGTGTTCCTCAAATTCCTTATAACTAAATATATATTTTCCTTAAATAATCTTTAAGGTCCATTTTTATCACAACACATGAAAAGATTTAATCCAGTTCATATATGTTTAATCTAATTACAATGGTTCTGGTAGTATATAATCACATTGGTCAAACCTCATAATTTGGAGAAATTGTCACTCACAGCTAATGTCTAGTATTCATTAATCCCTTACATCAGAAAACACTGCCAAGTTTTGATCTCATTAGCATCTTCTCCATGGGTTAGCCAGACAGCGGTAGGTTTGGCTTGGGCATGGGAACGAATTTGTGGAAAAGAAGCATGTTTTGTGGTGGCCAGGACAATGGCAATGAGTTTGTATAGAAAACCTTGCTTTTTCAGTCTCCAACTCTTTTCTAGAAGAATTGAATAACTGGAGGTATTGTCAAGTTGGTTATGTTTGTACAATAGTGCTGACTAAGAGTTGTTTAATCCCAAGAAATCCCGGCTATCTTTTTGATTTACTCTTGGGCCATAGCATCTTGATTCTTGAAAGTAATTAAATGTTGAGGTAATTTCTTATTCTCCCTGTCACATTTTAAACAACATATCTATAGTTTGTTCCAATTGCCCAGTTGTTTGTGATCTCTTGACACTGAGTGATCCTCTGCATTGAAACAACATGTATTATTTGTTCACTTTAAAAAAAAATCAGCTCTGTTCTAAATTAAGAATGGTTGGAAGTTGAAGACAATGGTTAGGAGGACAAGGAAGTTTGCTAGAATCTAATTTAAATCACCTCATCCTTTTTCCGTTGCCTGTTCCTGACCTTTTACCTAGTGAGGACAGTTTTCTGATAGAAGCTAAAGTAAGGTATGTAATCAAATCAAATACAGAACAGAATGCCATAGGAACTGTGGGCAATATAATAACCCCTTGGTCATCAATAGCTTTGGATACTACTTGCATCAGAGAATCTGCTGGGTTATGGTCCCTATTGTATCTCTATATCAAGCTAAAAAGAGGAAATAAGAAAATTAAAACAGAATATCCACAATAAGCCCATTATGAACCAACTTTAAATCATAAAGGTCACCTGAACTAAATTTGTAATAAATCTATATTAGGAAAAGAAGGAGATTTCTTAGCTTGTTCATTTATCTACCATCTCAATCTTAGATTTTGCATCGCTAACTTTAGATTTGACAGTATTCTGAATTTTTGGCATGGAGTTATGGGTTTTCTGACAATATTTGCTGCTTTATTGATTTATTCCATATGCATGGCAATGATTCTGGTTAGGTTTAGTTTGGTTTGGTTTATTAGATTTATATGCTGCCCTTCTCCCAAGGACTCAAGGCGGCGTACAACATTAAAAGAAACACATAATACAAAAGTTTAAAAAAATTAAATAGAATATCCCAAACAAACCCAATTAGAATTGACAATAACAATTCTAAACCATTCTTCTGGTTAGACAGAAGATTGAATTCTGTGTGATTACATTCCTTTCACTAGGACACATCCCAATATAAACATAATTCCTGCCTACATAATGGCAAATTTTTGAGTCTCTTAGAATAACTGAATCCTGAAATCAGAAGAGATCCTTCATGAAGTCCACCCTCATACTCTGAATAGAAATCCAAGTGAGGTAGCCCATCAGTACTTGAGGAGAAAAGGTTTATTACTGCAATAAAGATTTATTATTTGGACATACCAATCTAGATTCAGACACTCCAGAAGATGTATTTTAATTACATGGTTAAATAAGTCACGATGCCTGGGATTTTATATAATATTGAACCATATACTAAGGTATCAGAGGAGAGAAAAGAAGCAGTATTACAGTGGCAGCTATAAAGACACTGAAGATGGAAACAGCCAAATTCATTAGACTTCAGCTTCAAACTGGTGTACTGAAAGACACCACTAGATAGATAGATATTGATTCAAAGAAGATGAGCAAGCATGGAAAATGTATGCTGAAATTCTATACAGATAGCTTTGAAGAAATTTCCTATTTACAAGAACCTCTAGTGCTAGAAGATGAAGTTTAGGGCATTCTTCTGGTCATTACCAAGTCAGAAGGCTACAGGAACTCATGGAATGTCTACGGAAATATGACAAGCAACAGAAGAAATCAGTAAGGTTTCTGACTAAACTATATCAGAAAGTCTAGAGACCTACGTAGTGGCCAATTGGAAGAAGTCAGTCTAGATACCAATACCAAAAAAGGAGACTTAATAGAGTGTGCAAAGTATTATAAATTATCACCTTATGTATTCAACCTAGATGCTGAATATATATTGAGGGAAGTTGGATTAGAAGAAGATGAGTATCATTTAAAACTGAAGGGAAAACATCACTAATCTACAGTACATTATGTGATTATGCTATTTTGATAGCAGAAAATAAAAATGTTCTGGAAGCTGTAGTAATAATGAAAGTCAAGGAGCACAGTGCAAAAAGGACTAATATTAAATATAAAGAAGATCAAAGCAGTAATAACAGATACAGCAACCAGCCTTAGAATAAGATAACAAAGATCAATTACAGAAGTGGTGAATAGCCTTTTAGGATCAATATTAATACTAAAGGAAATAGTGGTTAAGAAATATACCACAGGCTAGCACTCGGTAAAGGAACAATACACCCTTGAAAAAAAATTCAGATGCCATGCTGTGTCTATACCTATGAATATTAGAATCATGCTGGCATTGGTTTTCCTTGTGTCACTCTATGAAACAAAATGTTGGACTTTGAATGAGAAGAACTTTTTTTTTATTAAACAAATGCATATGGCCACCAATCTACCAAATAGAAAAAGTTTTTTGAACTTTAATGTTGGAGAAGACTCATCAAACAACTAGATTACACAAAGAACCAGGCTCAATTTTTTCATATTTTGAAGACATTATGCAAACTTAGCTTCTGGACAAGTCTGTAATGCTGGGAAAGGTGGAGGGAAAGAGAAGAGGAGGACAACCAGCAGCAAGATGGATTAATTGAATTTCAATGGTAAGGAGTACATGATTAGAAGATCTGAAGGGTCAATTTGAAGAAGAAAATCTATTAATATGGTCACTAGAGTTGACACCAATTTCTTGGCACATAATTAGTCAATAAACCTTTGTTTCTTGGTTAGTTTGTGTTTGGCATTTGTTTATTCATTTCCTCCCCTGACAGAGTGAACTAGAACTATGGCTGTTTTGAAATTACCTTAGTTTTTATATATTGCTATCCAAAATGTGATCTTTCCAATGTTTCATATATTTTAAAAGATTGCTCTTATGTGAAACTACAATTTACATATTTTATATGCCATTTCTCATATCTCCAAACCGAAACCAAACATTTGTTCAAGGAACTTAAATAAGCCAATTGGAAATTGGTTTTCCTGATGTTCATTCCTTTATTCACAGCTGCTTTACAGAAACAGTGTGTGCCACAAATACTTGTTTATAAACCTACATTTTTTTTGGTTCATTTTTATTCTACTCAGGTGCTCGGCTGATTTTGACACTATATGATCAACTCTCATTCTTCACTGTTTCACTGCTGGATTCCAGGAGCTGAACCTTTTCCCCCCATTGCTCAGTGAGAAAGCTAATGATAGTATCCTTTGCTGTATGTTTACCTTCTGGTGTGTGCTCCTCAAGCTCTGACTGCTGCAATAAATCTTGGTACACATTGGGACCAGTGCACACATCCTGAAATTAAACACAACAAAAAATTCAAGAAGATGCAAGGTCAAGAATTCTATATGTACAAAATATAGAGAGGAAGATACTGAACTCTCCAATGCAATTTCCTACGATTCTCAACAACTACATGAGCAGACCTCTATATATACAATGAAAACTTTCTAACTATCTTCCCTTTACTTATGGCATCACATTGTTATCAGTGTCCTTATGTACTATCACTCCTTGGGTCGTACAATAAATAGAAAATTACCAAATGAACATTTTAAAAAGATTGTTATTGAAAAAATATTCTCATAACAAGAGAAGTTCCCATCCAAACAGGACAAAGTAGTAGACCTGCATTGGATACCTGCCAGGAGTCTTTTAAGAAAGGCAGCAAGTGGAATTATTCAATTGTGATGGAACACTTGTTGAAATGGTAGCATTTTGGAGCCCTCATAAAGGACCAGGTACTATGTGCATCCTTACTGCTGGAATTCAAATCTAGCAAGGCAAACTAGACTATAAGTTAAGTAAGTCTGGCAAAGGCAATAAGTAAACTATTACCAGTACCAACATAATCCTGGCAGATCCCTGTCTGAGTTTAAGTCAAATAGATACTCATGGATGCATGAATGTATGGATGAGTGGAACTTTTAGTTCAGAAAATAATCACTTGTTGCACCTGCATTTGTTTCTATGTGTACTGAGTTTTTGATAAATATAAGAAGCATCATATTTACACTCCTCTGTATGACACATACAAACATCATATTTCCCCATCTGTACAATGTCTTGCAGAAATTACTGAGAATTCAAACATCTAAAGGACACATTTGGATACAATCCACTGATTAAAAAAAATACAGCTTCTGGTGGTTTGTGAATCATACTATATTTAGAATGACTTCCAACAAGTATAAAGCAGTTTTTTTCTCTTACCTCTGATATTATAAATCAATCTTTACACGTGTTTCTATTCTGTTTTCTCTTTTCTAGTCTTTCTCAGTTTAATTATAAAAACTTAATTTCAAGCTCTTAAATTTTATTGAAGCAAATCAGTTGAAGCCAGAATTACAACATATGGGGTGTATAACAATTATGGGAAAGCCAAGCTAATTATGAAAGCATCTGAGATACTTTTGAATAGAGACTGCTACTTTCTTTCACAAGTGGCAATTTCTCTCTTTAGAAATTAGAAGAGAACTGAAAACAATCTATTTTCCATCTTCCTATCCAAATTAAGAATAGCTTGAGGGGAAGAAAAATAGAAACTGGGCAAAGAATGAAATTAGAAAATCAGCAATTACTCCCTATTGATGAAATAGATCCATAATTTATATATTTGCTCAGGCTGTGCAGTGCTTCAGATTCAAGGCCAAAAAGTGCCTTGAAGAACACAGGGACATTTACATAACACCTATCTGCAACACCTTAAAGTAGTTTCATATATTCCAAGATTTCTATGGCTGTTGTCTCTAGTTGCCGTGCAATTACAAGAAAACTATTGTTTACTGTAAATTGCAGACAAATACTATTTATTTCTCCACATGCTCCAAAGCACCCTTTTCCTTCCTCCCTCTCTCCCGCCCCCGCTTCTCTCTGGTAGTCCTCAACTTACGACCATAATTGAATGCAAAATGTATGTTGCTAAGTGAGAAATTTGTTAAGTGAGTTTTGCTCCATTTAAAGACTTTTATTGCCACATTTGTCAAGTGAATCACTGCATTTCTTAAGTTGGTAACACAGTTGTTAAGTGAATCTGGCTTCTCCATTGACTTTGTTTGTCAGAAGGTTGCAAAAAAAGGGGACCACATGATTCTGGGACACTGCAACTGTCATAAATATGAGTCAGTTGTCAAACAACCTAATATAAATGACATGATCATAGGGATGCTGCATGGTCATAAGTGTGAAAAATGGTCATGTCACTATTTCCAGTGCTGTTGTAACTTTGAACAGTCACTAAACAAACTATTGTAAGTCGAGGACTACCTGTATGAGTACCCTTTGTATAAGAAGAGAAGTGAGAGTCTATATACTTACACCCAAGAGATCTGAAGCACCAGGTGTCAGGACATCAGAATAAAATCCACGTTCTTTCACCACTGGATATTTTTTATTGAATGTTCTGTAGGAAGAATCCACTGGAGTTGAGCTGGTTCCTGCACTAGAGTCTGCTCTTTGGCTGTTGGGATATGGGGGATATGGACTTCTTCCCAAAGAGTTTGTCAGTTCCTTCTTGGCTTTATCCATCTTGCTTTTTGATCTCACAACACTGAGGTATATTTTACATCACACACAACAAAGAAATTGCTATGAGTATCTCTACTGTTAAAAGCAACATTTAATAATTTGACAAGACAAATGGCTAATCTACATTTTATAAACCATGGTGAGTGTTTCATTTGTGCAGACAGCGACTTGTAGAATTAGTCTCTTGGAAGCCAGAACTAAGAACTGACACCTCCCCACAATATTCCAGGTGGATAGGGTCAGTTATAATTAATCTTCGATAATAAGGGCACACATTTCAGTGGATTCTTTCTTGGAAAAATAGCATCTAAAACAAAACTACAGAAAAAATACTCCCACAAAATAAAAATAAGCTGTAGTTATTTATGTAATTTTGTCACACATTAACATGAAAGTATAACAATCTCATTATATATGTACATAACTTGAATGAAAAGGAGGCTATAATGCTTACCAATATATATGCCTGCGGTACTGCAGTAGTAGTGGGCAGAAACCAGAATAGAAACTTAGAACCTATGTGTCTACAAGAACATTCCTGATGCACTGAGTGCAGAGAATGCAAATGGTATACATCTATATGACTGCAGGAATACATTATGTGACTCCTTTGATACATTAATTAATTATTAATTAAATAAAAAGATTACTATTTATGGCATCTTGGGCTCCTGAATGTATTAACTGATGTTTATATTCAACATGATACATCCAGTAACTGAAGATGCCATGAATAGTAATCCTTCTTTAATTTTTCAACCTAACAACTCTCAAATCAAATAAATCTTTACCATTGTCAGCCATTTAAGGTAAGCCAGGTCAGGAAACAGACTCCTCAAGAAGTTTACTGATCTAAAATGTAGTAACAGAATGTCAAAAGTCTGGCATTGTTTTCTTTTATCTACCTCCTACACCCCAGGGAAACATTTTGAATCTCTTTTTAGTGTTTTCTTATTTTTTTGTAACAGTCATAATATTGTCTTCTCAAACTCATTTCTCTGGGTTTCCACAATGATGATAATTGACTAGCACAGCCCTGTGAGTTAAGTTGGATTTAAAGACAGTGATTAGTCCAAAGTCATTTCATGGTGATGGATGGAGTAGAACTTGTGTTTCCCGACTCCTAGTCTAGCATCTTAATCATTACACTGCAGGAGATCTCCTTCAGATTCCCTGAATCACTGCACTTTATTTATTTATTTGTTTATAATGAAATAGAAACCACCATGTTGCAAGCAATCTTTACCATCCTGTTTATAAGAATCTTTCTGTGTATCATACTGCATAGGCTCCATAGGAATTTCTTATAAAGTGAAAATTGTGATTAGCTAAAACATACTGCTTTGTTTAAGTATTCACTTATCCACAGAAAGACAAAGGTAAACCAAAATTATAGAGAACACCTAAGAGACTAGAAGGTGGAGTTCAGCTTGTTTATATAATCCTTATATTTTATACTCAATTCAATTTAGAAAATTGATGTCTATTCATTTACATCTAGAATCATACCTGACTTTCTAGGCCAGTGATGGCGAACCTATGACACGCGTGTCAGTGCTGACACGCGTAGCCATTTGGGGTGACACGCACAGGATTTCATG